TCAAAAAAAAATTCATATATATATATATATATATATAATTTATATGTAACCTGGAAACATATAAAACAATATTTAAAAGAAGAAAGTTTGAGGACTTAAATTTTCTGACTTCAAAATCAAATGCAATACTTATGCAATGAAGAAACTGTGGACAGAAACACAGATCAACTGAATAGACTTTAGGATCAAGAACTACATTGGCACATTTACTATCTATGGATTTTAGTAAGGATGCCCAAAGTGATCAATAGGACAAAAAACAGCCTATTAAATAAATGCTACTGAGAGAACTCATAATCCATTTGAAGAAAACAAATCATATCCAAAAATAACCTCAATTTGGATCAGAAGCCTAAAAACCATAACTACAGCTCTAAGAGAATACAGAGCAGTGTAACTGTGTAACTTTGGGTATGGCAATGGTATCTTACTTCTGGCAAAAAGAAAGAAAAATTAAATAAAGGTAAATTGTATTACATCAATAAACTTTTAACTTGGGACCAGCAGTTAGTGTAATGGCTGTGTCGCTGGAATCCAATGTAGTCGACCATGGTTCAAATCCTGGATCCAGTGGCTTAACCTCACACCAGGCGCATTTGTGTGCATGCCCAAGATCCTGAGAAGAGAATGTAGAAGGGATTGTGGCGTGGCGATCTCCCCTGGGTGGTGATTTCTTGCTTTCTGTCTCTCTGTCTTTCTCTGCCTTTCTGGCAAGCGCACACGCCCTATAGCAAAAACTTTTCAAAAAATAACAAAATAAAAATAAATAAAATTTTAACTTTTTTTCTTAAAAAAGAGAACATAAAGTGAAAGACAAATCACAGACATTGAGAACATATTCAAAATTCTATCATGTATATAAATATATGATAAAGAAGTTATATCAAGAATATATAAAGATGGGACCAGCAGATGGCATAATGGTTAATACACTGGACTCCCATGTAATCAACCACGTTTCAAGACCTAGATCCAGTGGCTTCAAACTCTCACCAAGAGCATGCACATTCACGCCCAATATCCTGAGAGGAGAATGGAGGAAAAGGGATTGCAGCATGAGCATCCTCCCAGGGGAGGGATTTTTTGCTTTCTGTCTCTCTCTGCCTCTCCAGTTAGAGCATGTGTCCAATACCAAAAATGTCTCTAAAAATATATATATATATAAAAATCTTTCACAATGAAGACAAATAACTCAATTGAAATAGGCACAGGGTGGGGGGACAGGGAAAGGGGTGGCATGGTGGTTAAAGGCACTGGTCTCCCCACATGGCCAACTGCATTTTGAGTCCCAGACATGGCGGCTTGCTTTCTCATTTTCTCTCTCTCTCTTTCTCATGCTCTTCCTCTCTAGTAAAATTAAAATAAATAAATAAATAAAATAAAGCAAAATAAAAATTTTTTAAAGATATGCAAGTGGACACTTTTTGTGGGTAAGGGATATCTCCGGGGACTGAGACCATACGGTGGGACCTGGCATTATGAAGAACACAGCAAATGCATGTGCAAGCATGCCCAGAATTGAGACAGGATGAAGAAATGGAAGACAAGACATGTGTTACATTGCCCCCTAGGGAGTGCTTTCTCCCTCTCCCCTCTCTGTTTCTGTTTCTGTCTGGCAAGTCATGAACCCTAGAGCAAAACATCTTTTTAAATAGGCAGGGGAGTGCTTGATTATGCAGCACGCATACGAAAATTGGAATTATATGGAGAAGATTAGCATGGCCCTTGCACAAGGAAGACATGCAAATTCTGAAGCATTCCATATTTATGGAGGAAAGAAAAGAGAAAGTAGACTGGGCAAAGAAGTAATGGGATTGAAATTGTGGATACATTTGTCCTTAATGTATTTTTATGAAGTTGGTAAAGCCTGAAACAGATCATTTAAAAACTACTTGTTCTGGAATTATGTTACTTAAGTAAATACCTATTGAAATAAAAAAATATATATAGGCAGGAGATCTAAATAGACATTTCTCAAAAAAATATATACAAATGGCTAAATAGCTTGAACAAAAATGCACAGCATCGTCAGGCATCATACAAACACAAACCACAGTGATATACCACTTCACGCTGACAAATATGGCAATAACCAAAAGAAAAATGGTGGGAACAGCAGTTAGCATAATGGCTATGTCACTGGACTCCCGTGTATTCGACTGCGGTTCGAATTCCGGACCTGGCGGCTTAAACTCACGCCAGGCACATGTGCGTACGTGCCCCAGATCTGGAGAGGAAAATGGAGGAGAAGGGATTGCGGTGTGGACATGCCCCCAGGGGGGAGTTTTCTCGCTTTCTGTCTCTCTATCTCTCTCAGTCTTTCTGGTGAGCGCACATGCCCTATAGCAAAAACCTCATCAAAAAAAGAAAAAAAAAAAGGCAAATGGTGAGTCATCCAACCTGGAGCTGGTCCCACATGGTAAAGTGCATAGTTCAAGTCCTGCCCTCAACACCTTTACAAACACGTTGAGCATGTGTGCCTTTTGCACAAGATCCCGAAAAGAGTGAGAAATGGCAAAGAGATTGAGACAAACAACTCCCCATGAGGGTGTGTTCTTGCTTTCTCTCTATCTCTCTCTCTTTCTCTCTCTCATTTCTCTCTGCTGAGCACACTCATTCTTCGACAAATTAAAAGAAGGCCAATAACAAATGTTGCCAAAAAAGCAGCAAAACGGTAACCCTCAAACATTGCTAGTGGGGATGAAAAATGAGGTAACTAGTTTGAAAACACTTGAAGATTTCTCAAGGTTAATACACAATCACCATATGACAATGCAATTTTAAGTCTCAGGTATATATGAAGGAGAAATAAAAACATGTCCACAGAAGACCTGTACATGAGAGTTAATAAAGAACATTGTATATAATAGTCCAAAACTGGAAAAAGGGGAAAAAAGTTCATGAAAAGGGGAGCAAAACATAATATATCTATGCTGTGGATCATTATTTGAAAACAGAAATAAATGAAGTCTTAATACATAAAAATAATATAGATAAATATTTGAAATATTATGAAATCCTAAAATACCATCCACTGTATAATTCCATTTCTGTAAAATATTTAGAGTTAACAAATTTATAGAGACAATAGGTCAGTGATTCCTTAGGACACTGGAAATGCAGAAATTGGGTGGGGTGTAGTTGAAGGCTAACTAGGAAAATACTGTCTTTCCTTTGGGAGATGAAACTATTCTAAAATTGATTATTGTAGTGATTTTATGATTCTGTAGATATAATACAAAATATTGAATTATACATTTAACATTTATGAATTGTATAGTAAGTAATTTATCTGTGAAGTTTTTCACACCAAAAAAAATAATTTTGAATTGCAATGTCTAAGAAATGACTCAGCCATATAATTATCTCATTTCTACTTTTGTTTCAAGGACACTATAGACACAAGAACCTCTTACTACTTCTTACTACTGTTTGAGACATTATTCTCAAATATTCTACAAAAGATAGATGACTTGTACATACACAGCTAATGTGTATAGTTAAATGATAACATTCATTAAAGTTAGAGATACTAAACATGCTTGTATGACGAAGACAGGTCATTTACCCTTTGTTTATTCACTTTCAAAGCACATGCCGAGACTCTTCATATATTTACTTTAATGATTGAAAGTTATATTTTAACTACCTGCTTGATTTATCCTTGCATATAAGCGTGAGCAATGACAAAACACTGACTTGGAAAATAGCATTGTATTTCACCAAGATGGCTATGAAATGGACTTCAACCCTTCTGCTGCTACAGCTGACTTGTTGCTTCAGCTTTGGGAGCTGTGGCAAGGTGCTGGTTTGGCCGACAGAATACAGCCATTGGATTAATATGAAGACAATCCTGGATGAACTTATCCGTAGAGGTCATGAGGCGACGGTTCTGACTTCTACAGCTTCCATTCTGGTCAATCCCAACGAAAAATCCACTATTAAATATGAAATTTATCCTACAGCCACAACTAAAGACAACTTTGAGAGTCTTTTCATGCAAATGATAAGCAAATGGACATATGACATTCCAAGAGATACATTCTTCGAATATTTTTCACAGATGCAAGAAATGATTTGGCAGTATATGGACCACATTCAAAAGTTATGTAAAGAAGTAGTTTATAATAGGAAACTTATGACAAAACTAAAGGATTCAAGATTTGATGTCGTTCTTGCAGATCCTGTTGGTCCCTGTGGGGAGTTGCTGGCTCAATTTCTCAATGTATCCTTTGTGTACAGTCTCCGCTTCTCTCCTGGCTACACATGGGGAAAGTACAGTGGAGCTGTTCCGTTCCCTCCCTCCTATGTACCTATCATAATGTCGGAATTAACAGATAAAATGACATTTATGGAGAGGGTCAAAAATATGATATATGTGCTTTATTTTGACTTTTGGTTCAAATCATTTGATGAAAAGAAGTGGGACCAGTTTTACAGTGAAGTACTAGGTAAGTCACGTTTTGATTCGACAGAATTAATGTATTTCTGTGCCTTTGAGATTATCTTAAATGGACTCAAAGTCAGAGGAATGTGTTTTCTAAGGTGAGATAATGACATTAAAATACAAGGTGACTAGACCCAGCAGATGGAGTAATGGTTATGTCGCTGGACTCCCACATTACAAACCACGGTTTGAGTCCTGGACCATGCAGTTTGATTGTGCATATGTGCCCAGGATCACAAAAGCAAAATAAAAGAGAATGGATTGTGACATGACTGTCTTCCCTAGGGAGTGATTTCTCACTTTCTGTCTCTCTGTCTTTCTCTGTCTCTCCCGAAAAATATATCAGTCTCACAAATAATACGGAAAGGTTGGCATTATGGGGTCAGTTAGAATCCAGTGACCATCAACCTATGTGACACTCCAGGGGTCAGAAACCTGAGAATTAAAACATTTAGGATATTTGTAAGCAATTATAAATCCATTTTAATAGGTAAATTTACACTTATACAAAAGTCATTAGGCACATCAAGAAACATCTTGATGAACACAGACATGTAAATCCAAGAGTTAAATATGTTTTTAGCACAACTATCTGCGTGACATTGAGAAAATGTTTCTCCCTGTGTATTTCAATTTCCTATTTAGAAATCAAAATATTTCCCCACACCTGATCCTAGCAGAGTGACCACATTTCAACTGTACCCACACTGGAGGGTTCCTGATTCATGTTCTAGGACCTTCCCTACATGTTGGGCTTCCTCTGTCCTGCCAGTTGTCTGTGCCAGCTGAAACAAAGGGGAGGACTTCAGCCTGTGGACCTTGTTGCAAATCCTCTGTCACTCTTTAAGAAGAATAAATTAATTTTGAAAAAACTGTTTCCATACCCATATCACTAAAAGGATTTCCTCATAGTCAAGAGAGAAAATGGCTCTCCCTCAAACCACAAAAACCTATCATTTAAAATTTAAATGTTCCTAAATTCATTCATAAAGACTTGAAAATTTTTTCTTTAAAGATGCACAGTCTAAGTGAAGCATGAACATCCAAGTTATGACTCTCGTCTTCATTAAAGAATATATGAATCAGGGACCAGCAGTTAGTGTAATGGCTATGTCGCTGGACTCCCGCATAGCCTACCACGGCTCGAGTCCTGGACCCGGTGGCTTAAACTCACGCCGGGCAGGTGTGCGTTCATGCCCAAGATCCCGAGAGGAGAATGGAGGAGAAGGGATTGCGGCGTGGCCATCCCATCTGGGGGGTGATTTCTCGCTTTCTATCTCTCTGTCTCTCTCTGTCTGTCTGGCGAACGCACGCACCCTATAGCAAAAACCTCTCCAAAAAAAAAAAAAAAAAGAATATATGAATCAAATTAAGGAAAAACAAGAATCATTATTTTAATTATTAATGAATATCTTCCACTTGCCATTTGCACACATATATTTTACAAATTAATATTGTTAAGATCTAAACATGAACCAGGACCAGCTGTTTGCGTAATGGCTATGTCACTGGACTCCCATGTAATTGACCACGGTTCGAGACCCAGACCCAGTGGGTTAAAACTCACACCAGGCACATGTGTGCAAGTGTCCAAGATCCCGAGAGGAGAATGTAGGAGAAGGGATTGCAGCGTGGCCATCTCCCCTGGGGGGTGATTTCTCACTTTCTGTCTCTCTGTCTCTCTCTGTCTTTCTGGCAAACATATGCACTCCATAGCAAAAACCTCTCCAAAAAAAGAAGAAAGAAAAAAAAAAGATCTAAACATGCACCAAAAGCAGTAGTAAATATGAAAAATTCAGGCATACTCTAAAAATCTCATTATTGCATTGGCAGTATTAGCTTCAAAGTTCTAGCATGATAATTGTAGCTATTAGATTGAATACTTCTTAGAAAGTTACTTTAAGGGTATTTGGTAGGATTACTTGATTGTGGGCCTCAACAAGTTTTTTGGTTTAATCTGATATTTTGGCAGTTTTAGAAAGAAGGTAAATGCTGGAGCTGGCAGGTGGTGTGGTGGTTGAGGCACTGGAATCCCTCATGGCAGACCATGGTTCCTCAAGTCCTGGACCTTGAGGCTTACTTTCTCACTTTCACTTTCTGTCTTTCTGAGTCTGTCAAAATTAAAAAATAGTAACAATAAATAAAAGTAAATAAATAATTCTTCATTAAAAGAAAATACATGTTCAATTCTGCACTGCCTTACTTTAATTATTATTTCTAATTGGGCAGGTAGTATGGTGTTTGAGAAGCAGGACTCTCACATGGCCAACTTGGTTTGAGTCTCAGACCGGGCAGCTTGCTTTCTCAATTTCTCTCTCTGTCTTTTTGTCCGTCTCTGTCTAGTGAGTGCACGTGCCCTAAAGCAAATTTAAAAAGTAATAATAAGGAATAAACTTAAATGAACAATTCTTTTAAAAGTTATTAATGATTATAAATAGACTAGAATAAAGACTACTGACATATTTATTTACACATAGGACATTTTAATTATATCATGCAAAAATGTATGTGTACACATAATTTATTTCAAAACACAAACAAATTTTTTTTGTGGTTTTTGCCATAGGGCACAGGCTCTGGCCACAGACAGAAAGAGACCTAGAGAGGTAAAGTGAGAAATCACCTCCCATAGGGAATGGACAAGGTGCATTCCCTTCTCCTCCATTTTCCTCTCAGGATTTTGGGCATGCACACACACACAGGTCTGGCATGATTTTCAAGCTACCAGGTCCAGGATTCAAACCACATTCTACCATGTGTGAGTCCAGGACCTTAAGCACCACATCACATGCTGGTTCCAAAACACAAACCATTTAACATCTGGGTTATTTTATTCTAACACATTTCCAAAAATTACCTAGAATACACCTATGAAGGGTCTTTCATTTCCTCTATTTTGTTCTTTTCCTCCCTTCAGGAAGACCCACTACATTACTTGAGACCATGAGGAAAGCCGACATATGGCTTATTCGAACCTACTGGGATCTTGAATTTCCTCGCCCACTCTTACCCAATTATGATTTCGTTGGAGGACTCCACTGCAAACCTGCCAAAGCCCTGCCTAAGGTAAATATATTCCAGTTTGTTTTGTTTTGTTTACCTTGCATTCTCAGTGACAATGACTCTGCATTCTCCATCCAGAGTGTGGGACTCACAGTAAGCAAGATACGGGAAGTCTAGTAGATTGGGTGATCAATTAGAGACTCTTATACTTCTTTCTTTTCCAGAAGATATTTTCACATTCTAAAGAGTAACAGAGATAGAAAGAGAAAGTAAAGTGAGAAAGCACACCCCGTGGGGATTGGTCACTCCTCAACTCTTCTCCTTATTTCACTCTTTTCATGATTCTTGACATGCATGTACACACATCCCCAGCCCTGTTTCATGTCTCCACCCACCCATTATACCACATGGGATCCGACCTATTTGCCATGCTATGAGCTAGCCAAAAATCATATATATTTGATACAAACCCATGTAACCACATTTCTTTATCAATATGCAAGAAAGCAGGATGCCTGAGAAATACTGAGAATAGGTTTGGTTAAATTAATGCATTCTTTTATCAAAATACATAAGAGAATAATTTAAAGAATGTTTATAAAGCATCTAGCACACTCCAGAAATAAGTGATAGACAGAGAATCAATGTCAACACAGATGTTTTCCACACATCACACATTTTCTGGATAGAGTAGAAGTTAATAATAACTGTGAAATGTGTTAGCATAACAAGAGACCCAAAAATAAAAAGTCATCCAACAGGAATCAGAGAACATATCTTAGGTCATTGATAATTAAGGTAAGACCTGAATGATGTGCAGGAATGGTTGAAGGGATTGAGAGAGAGAGAAAGACACAAACAGAGAACCAAAGGGTAAGGACAGTTCCCAAAACTCCAAGTGTAGTTTAACAGAAAGAGACAAAAGAAATAGGCATGGGATGCTGGATTGTAAAGTTGGAACCAGATCATGTTACAGCTTTGAAAAATCTATTAAGAAAAATCGTGAAAAATTTGAAAAAAAGTTAGACAAAGAGACGTAACCTGGTTTGTTTGCTTGTTTCTAAAAAACAACCTCAAGATGTAATTAATCACTGCATGAAATTGTAGGATAATAAGACTATGGAAAGAGGAAACATTTAAGACATTCTTGTGAGAGTTCAGCAACTGATGATACAAAACTAAACTAGAAGGTTCATAGATGTGACCACACTGACTCATATCACGGTAGTCCAGCCTCATAATAAGTTCTGGTGGGAAAAAGGAAATACAAATAAAACAATTAAAATATCTCAGGCACAAATTCAGTGATCCAGAGTAATATCAAGTATTGACATCATTGCTGTTTTGTTTCCATTACTAATATTTTTCATTGAAATGTGTCACTTTACGTGTAATTCCTCAATTATGTAAACTTGTTTTCCTATGATTCAACACTGTATTCTCAAGAAAGGTTGTGTTGTTAAAAGCAGACACATGCATTTTGACAATCAAATGAGCAAGTTGAAATGCTATACTTTCATTGTAAGGGCTGAAACTCTTCACCAGTAGCCTAGCTAAAAGGGAAAAGCACTCCTCATTAATAGAAAAACAATATAATGATTCCAACTATATTTGCAGTCATTCAATGTGTACTTGCTTTCATTCTAGCATTTAAACCATTCTGCACTTGAGGGTCACCTTTCTAGACTGTGGAGCATATGTGATCATTTATTTTATCAGGTGTTCTCTGCATTAGTCCAAATTGACAGAATTGCTCCTCACAGTTGCTCCCTTGAGGAACATAGGAATTGACATCCTAGCTCACTGACAGAATGAACACAGAGAAAAATGTACACGGCATGTACAATGAAAAGCAAATATTTCTACAATTTGTATCAAACAACTGCCATTACTGTAGAATCTCAAAGAATTCTGTTCGTCTATAGAATGTTGTGCCTTATAAAGGAGCACAAAATTCTAACATATAACTTAATATCACTTGTGTTCATCATATAACATTGAACTTGATACATACTTCTAAAATGCAAGGGAAAGGCTAGCATTCTTACTGGACATTTGTACTCTTTCATGAGAGATTATTTTTATTACCTTCTTATTGGCAGCAATCTAACTCAGAGAACTCAATTCAACCCTTAGCTTTCATTTTGAATGTAAAATGTTTAGGCCATACACCAGAACAAAAGTATGGTACTTCTCTCAACATACAAAAACTGATGTACAATTTGTGGAAATGTTAAGCAATTGCTCCTATTCCTGAAAGGTGACCTCATTCACAATAAGGGACAGTGGCGGGAACCAGCAGTTAGCATAATGGCTATGTCGCTGGACTCCCACGTAGTCAACCGCGGTTTGCAGAAGAAGAAGGATGAATAACAATATAAGAGCAATAATTAGCAATATGTGCTATTGTTAACATGTTAGAGAAGTAAGCTCTGAACCCAGGTCAATGTTGGGATGCTTGTCCACCTATTCTTCATTAGTAAATTATTTGTCACCCCAAAATTCCTGCTTTTCCATAAATCATTAGGTCATCAGATCATTTTTCTAATGTCTAACAGAAGTAAGGCATTAGAGAAAATGACAAAAGCCCACAATCATCCATATCCTTAAAAGATGCTCAGAAGTGTTAGCTTTCAATTATCTAAAAAAAAATGAAACTCTGCAGAGAGAAAACTAATTACATGTACACAATCAATATTTGTGATAGTTGTTTGTTGAAGAAATACAGATATATTATACAAAAGGCTGTTTTAAAAACCTGTAATAAATGCATAGAACCTCATTATAATCATTTTATCAAAGAATGCTTAACTATATTAAGCCAGCTTTAGCTGGAAACTGAGAGGCAAAATGATACATGTATAAAATCTCTATTCTCTTATAGGTTGATCAGGTACACCCATTAGAATTATGATTATTAAAATATGTATCACTTATATACACTAAATTGTAGGAACAGAATAAAAACCTGAATGAAAGCATATTAACTTCAAACAAGAGATAGCTCTACATTGAGAGACTGTGGTTGAATCTCATTTCATTTTTATACTTTTTAAAATACTTTTCCAAACATTCTTACAATAAATTATTTCAAATTTTCTATTTCCCTTCTTTGAGTATTAATTTTTAAGATTACTAACTTTACATTGATTCATTGTAAATCATTACAGCATTCAAAAATTAGTTTTCCCACCGTGAATACAATGTATATTGGCTCCATCAAGAATATTGTCATACATGTTATCAACAAGGAATAATTTTCCATTTCTCATTTCTTATATATTTCCTGCCCCCCATTCTTCCCCTCTCCTCTCTGCTATTTCCAACCCTCCTCCTACACTGTCTATGGTATATACAGTAGCTTTCCATTTTTTTTATTCATATTATAATAATTCAGAAAACATATCAGTTAATCAAAATACTTCCAATGGTAAGTGCAGCTGATATCATACAGAATGACAATGAGCAGCATGAAGGAAGGAAGCTTTGAGGAGTAAGCCAGTTAGAGAAAACTTTGAATACAAGTTACTTTGCATGTTGCAAGAGGTGTCTGGAATCACAAAACAACACAAAAAAACAATGCTCCAGATATTTCTAGGAATAGTACAGTGACTCTTATATTAAAATTTATTTCATCAGATTAAAATTATACCCTTGATATTTCTTTTCTTTTTTCTTAAAATGTTTTTGTTTTGGTTTGGTTTTTGGTTTTTGTTTCTTGGTTTTTGTTTTTTTAATGAAAGAGAACATGTTAAGTATACCAGAGAGATAGGGACACCATCCACAGGGGTCCAAACTGGCCATAGGAAAAACGGCTTCCAGTCTTGCAGGATATTTGTATTATCATTAAGAATGAAAATAAGTTTTAAAAATAAGTTTTATGACAATAATGAGATTAAGAAAGAAAAGTTTATAAAAAGTGAGGATTTGGTCATTATTTTACAGAGAGAAAAAAACACAATGAATTTAAAACAGCAGGAGGAATGTTAAAGTAGATGTGTTTATATTCTGACAAGATATTCATAAACTTCTGACTCAACATGTCTTTTATCGGCAGCAGATATATTGAGCAGTCCTAAATTACTGTATATGGAAAGAATTTATTTTAAAAATTGACAAAGGTTTTGAAGAACAGGTCAGAATAATTCTCAAGCATTTCCAAGCAAACAAACAATTCTTCCCCAGGTACTTAATAATATAGCCAGAATTGGGAACCAGCAGTTAGCGTAATGGCTATGTCGCTAGATTGCCACATAGTTGACTGCGGTTCGCGTCCCGGACCCGGTGGCTTAGAACTCACGCCGGGTGCGTGTGCATGCGTGACGAAGATCCCAAGAGGAGAATGGAAGAGAAGGGACTGCGGCGTGACCATCCCCCCGGGGGGTGATTTCTCGCTTTCTGTCTCTATGTCTCTCTCTGTCTGTCTGGCGAGCGCATGCGCTCTATAGCGAAAACCTCTCAAAATAATAATAATAATAATATAGCCAGAATTGAGTTGAGCAAGAGTGCGAGCAGATCTCCACTGAGATGGGCCTGAGTGGGCCTGAGGGAATTCTCTCCAGTGGTGTAAGTTCTCTCTGAGGAACAAGGTCAGGGCATGATGAGGGTCCCCCACAGCCAGTAATACAGCAGCACTTTCTACTGGGACATTAGTTTGATGGTGTAACATCAGGGAAAAAGGTGTCACGCCAAAAAAAAAAAAAAAAAACATTGAGCCCATTAATATGAATGCAAAAGTGTTTAACTCTATATGTATTATTCTGGATATAAATAGAACTCTTAGGACTATTTTTGAAAATCCAAACCATAATACGAAACTCCTGATTGCCACTTATTCTTACACTCCGGTTAAATTTTAAGGGCTCTTTTATGACAAAAGTTGGGGGGATTTCTGATAAAGATTAATTATAAGGATTTCAGATTTGAGAAAATATAGGTATAAAATCATCCCAAAATTTTTCCTCAATGCTGAGAGTTGTGAAAGAAAACTATTAATGGCTTCAAATTAAAATAATTGTCCAGCTTTTCACCTAGTATAAACACAAGTTATTTGGTAGAACCCTAATCATAGAGAATTAAAGTATATTAAAAGCAGGCAGTAGTAATTAATAAAATCATAAATTAAGAGTTTGAGTATAATCGTTTCTAATATCATCCTCCATAACTATTGCTTTCTATTACATTTATTTCCAACATACGTATTTATATAAATATGTCTAATAGAGTACAACTATCTCATGTTAAATATCTCTTTATCAAAATCCTGACTTATCAGGCCAGGATAAAAATCACCTGTCACAGGGCCAGTAGGTGGCAGAGTGGTATGGCACTGGACTCCCACATTGTCCACTGTGCTTCAAGTACTGGACTCACAGCTTAAGAATCACACCATGGACTTGTGGATACATGCTCACAATTTTGAAAAGAAATTCTCCACCCACTTGGAGGACAAGGAATGTGGCCTTCCCTCCTGGAAGATGATTTCTCTCTGAGTCGCTCTCTCTTTGTTTCTGGTGAGCACACACTCCCTGTTGCAAAAACCTCTCTAAAAAAAACACACACACACACACAAAAATAAAACACCTGTCATGTCAATAATTCCTTATACTCCATGATATTCTCTCCTTAGATATTTTTACCAACCCCTCATATCGGTTTGTGCTGCTGGTTGCTATTTTCTGATGGAGCACATGTTTTACTTTACAGGAAATGGAAGACTTTGTCCAGAGCTCTGGAGAAAATGGAGTGGTGGTGTTTTCTCTGGGGTCAATGGTCAGTAACATGACAGAAGAAAGGGCCAATGTGATTGCATCAGCTCTTGCCCAGATTCCCCAAAAGGTGAGTTAAAGGGTCCCAGTGTTTTTTCTCTGTAAAAGATACTCCCCAAAAAAAAAAAAAAAAAAAAAAAAAAAAAAAAAAGATATTGGCAGGACTCAGTTAAAAACATTATGTCAGTGTACAAGGTAGCCAGAAGTAAGAGAAACAGTGAAGATGGACCTATGCATAACAAAATGTGGCCCCCAAAGAACTCTACCTCTTGTCCCTTAAATTAACCACTCATTGGGACTGAGGGAAAAGGAATCAAGCAAATGCAAGCCTGGCTCAGGAAAAGACTCAGACATTCCCAACTCCATAAAATGTAAGAGAAACTTATGATTCTAATGTATAAAATACACTACACTATTTGGGTATTTTATAAAATATTTTGTAGTTTCCTGTTTGATACAGCTTTCTGCAAATAAGCAAAGCAAATGTTTTCCTGAGAACCAAAGGTTACTTTAACATCCTTGAGGCAAATTGAATTTGATTACCTATAAATTATACTCCTGTTTATGAAGTTTGCTTGGGAATTCGTAGTCAGGACTAGGTATGAAAGTGGCTTGGGTCTATTGAAGAAATTCTTTCTGTCAATGACAGCTATCAAGGCCTGGTAGTTCATTAATAAGACAACAGAAAAAAGTTAGCAACATCACCATTTTGGATATTTCAACAAACTTTATTTACTTATTTACTTATTTAAAAAAAAAAAATTAGGTTTTTGCCATAGGGTATGTGCCCTCATCAGAAGGACAGTAATAGTAAGAAGGAGAGTGAGAAATCATACCCCAGGAAGATGACCATGCTGAAATCCCCTCTCCTTCATTCTCTTTGGAAGTCTTGGGCATGCATACATATGTACTAGCATGATTTTAAGCTACCATATCAGGGACTTGAACTACTGTTGGCCATGTGGGAGTCCAGTGCCTCAACAACTATGCCACCAGCATCCACAAACAGACATGTATTTGCTCAGTAATTTGCTGTATAATTATAGAAACTGAATAACATTTTTTATAAGCCTGGATTTATTTTTGATCTAGCACTTGCCTAAGCTACCATGTGTGAACATCAGGATTGTCTTACACAACTGATTATAAAAACAAATACGTGAAATGTGAATAGTCTATTTATCTCAGTCTTTCATTGTTTTCACTGTATAAAATACCATGTTACAATTTTCATATCTGCCAGGTGGATGTTCTTTAGAACTCAAACACACTTTAAACTTCCCATTTTGACTCATGAAATATGGTCTTTTTTTTCCTAACAGGTCATATGGAGATTTAATGGCAAGAAACCAGCAACTTTAGGAACCAACACTCGGCTATACAAGTGGATTCCCCAGAATGACCTTCTTGGTAAGACTCTGGAGAAGAAATACTAAAAAATATGAGTAACCACCGATGAGATGATAGTTCAAAAGGAGTCAAAATTTGTGAACATATATTTTAAAACTTAATGAAATAAATTTGATATTTTCCAGTCCTAGGGGTGAAATAAATAAACTGTAATACTTGCTAATTTTTTCTATGCAGTTACATTCTTTGTGGTAAGATCAAAGTATCTTTAGTACAACTGTGATGATCTCAAAAAGGCAGTTTAAAAAATTTTTCTTGGGAACCAGCAGTTAGCGTAATGGCTATGTTGCTGGACTCCCACGTAGTCGACCACGGTTCGTGTCCCGGACCCGGTGGCTTAAAACTCACGCCGGGCGCGTGTGCGTGCGTGCCCAAGATCCCGAAGAATGGAGGAGAAGGGATTGCGGCGTGACCATCCCCCCTGGGGGGTGATTTCTCGCTTTCTGTCTCTATGTCTCTCTCTGTCTGTCTGGCAAGTGCATGTGCCCTACAGTGAAAATCTCTCCAAAAAAAAAAAAAAGGCAAAAAATTTTTCTTACTTGTCTTTGTCGCCTATATCTACAGACTTATAACTCTCCTTTTAACTCCTAAAAGAATATATCAAATGCTACTGAAAGAATATATCAAATGCCCTTTATTGCCAATCATGCTACATTTTCTACAAGAAAAAACTACACAGTCTTTATCATGAAGCAATAACACATTTCATGATAAAGTGTAGCTTTTCCTTTTCCTAATACCAATACCACCACCACGTCACCTCTGCTGCCCTGGACACTTTACCTATCAGGCTCAGTGACTTCATTACTTTATGAGTTTATGATCTAACACAATTCAACTCTGGACAGGTGACTTGCTTTCTTACTTTCCTTTATTCATCCTCTCTGTGTCTCTCTGCTGAGCACACACTCCCTAGAGCAAACTTAAAATAATAAGAAGAAATTAAATGAATAATTTTAAAAATATTTAAAGGAAAAAGAAGAAAGAGAGAGGATAGTTGTAGATACCAGAGACAGCAATCTTGTAGCCATTGTTCGAGTTTAAAGTCACACACCTCCTCTTTCACATAGCTTTCGCTTATACTACAGCACAAAAGTACTTCTTGTTCTGAAATAACAAAGTCATTTTAATGAAGATTGAACATTGCCGCCTTTAGTGCCTTATACTGTGTATTTCTCATCTCATTGCTAAGAAGCATAATAACTTTGCTAAACCTTACCCAATTCCAGGTCATCCAAAAACCAAAGCTTTTATCACTCATGGTGGCACCAACGGCGTCTATGAGGCTATTTACCATGGGATCCCCATGGTGGGAATTCCTTTGTTTGCAGATCAACCTCAAAATATTATTCATCTGAAGGCCAAGGGAGCAGCTGTTAGAGTGGACTTCAACACCATGTCAAGTACAGATTTGCTCAGTGCAATGAAGACAGTCATTAATGACCCTTCGTGAGTATAACATTTTTTTTTATTCCATATGATTCACAGATCAGATCTCTGGTTAACAGCGAGGATAACATTCATCCTTTTTTTGAAAAGATTAATTTGGAATGAATTTAAATAACTAAACCCATCTGAACCCATTTCTACCAGACAGATACTTCAAATCTGCATTTGAACCACATTATTTAATGGGTAATCAATTAGTGCAAGAATTTCTAAACACACACATAAAAATTAAATTTTGGTAACCAATTCTAATAAAGACAAGCTATCTAAATATGGCACAATCCCCACAAGTAAAAAATAATAAACTTACAGAAATATGAGAAAATATTTGGAACAAGCAGTTGGTGTAATGGCTACATCACTAGACCCCCCTCGGAGTCAATCAAGGCTCGAGTCCCAGACCCAGCAGCTTAAAATTCATGCCAGATACGTGTGCATGTGGGACTAAAATCCCAAGAGGAGAATGGAGGTTAAGGTATTTAGTCATGGCCATCCCTTCTGAGGGACAATTTCTCTCACCCTGTCTGTCTCTGTCTCTCTGGTGTCCGCATATGCACTATAACAGAAATCTCTTAAAAAAAAAAAAGAAATATGACACAATATTATAATTCAGTAAATATTTAACTATAAATATCAGTGGTAATATTTGTTGAAGATATTTTGTAGTTTTATCAACAGTACTAGGGAGAAATTGTCACCTGTTGAAATATCCATTTTGTAAGACAGATAATAAAGTGATTGAATGTATGGAAGACAATGAAATGGGAAAAAATTTTAAATAAAAGGAAAATAAAAGAAGAAAAAAGTCTCAGTAAAAAATAAATAAGTAAATAAATATAAATATAAATTTTAATAAATAACACACAAGTATGCTGAATAGAAATTTAAATATTAAAATTAAATAAATATTTTAATTAAAAATGTTTACTACAAGAAATCATTTTTTTCCTGAAATTTGCCTTTTATTTTCAATATTTTCACAAGTTTTATAGTAATAAATACTATGTGAACTATAAAATTCATTTTGTTATAATGTGAAATGCACATATAATTAGTATTTTTATAGCTTCACGAAACTCTCAAAATAATATGTTTGCAGGATTTTTTAATCATCTCAAATGAAACATCATGCCGCATACAATTCACTTGCCATGATTGTCTAGACATAGACAACTCTCAATTTACTTTCTGTTCTATAGATTTTCTCCTCTGTGTAGATTTTATATACATAAATAATCTAATTTATTGTCATTTGAAACTGGCTTATTTCACTAGTACAATATTCTTCAGTTATATCCATATGTCTATACTTCATTTATTTATTGCTAGGAATATTCAATGGTATGGGTATACCCCACTTTATTTATTTCTTTATTCATAAGTTCATGAATGTTTTGGTTTTCCAATTTACATTATTACCAACATTGTTATTTGAGGAGACATCAAAAAGTCTGTGTAAAAATAAGATTAAAGTAGGCATTTATTTTGATGCAAAAAAAAGTCTTAAAGTCTATGAATAGTGTCTTTATACGGGGCATTTTCCATGAATTTTTGAAACCCTTTCACATATAGTTTATGAGTAGACTTTATTTTATTCTTTTTGGTAGGAATTAGATTGGTATTTCTGGGTAATATTGGAAACAGGTCTATGAAAACCTGCCAAACAGTGTTCCAGAGTAGTCGTAAACATTCACTCCCACACAGGAGAGTTCTAATGTATCCACATCACTGCTAACAGTTTTCATTATCTGTCTTTTTATTAAAGCTACCCTAGTAAGAGTAAAGTGTATCCCATTGTGGTACTGACTTCAATTTCTCATATTCCTAGGGAATTATCTTTCCATGTTTTATAGGCCATTAACTAATTTTCTTTAAAGAAATGTGAATTCTAATGCCTTTTCCATTTTTAAATTGCATTCTTTGTCTCATGCTGGGTTGTGTGCATGCATGCCCACAATTCTGAGAAGTAAGTTGAAGAAAAGGGACTGCTACATGGCCAGCCCCTCTGAGGGAAGATTCCTCACTTTCTCTCTCCCTCTCTCTTTCTTTCTGTCTGTTCTCCAGCAAGTGCACATGCATCTATAGCAAATATCTCTTTAAAAAAAAAAGAAAACTGTTACAAATGGCCAAAAATTGTTCAAACTTATATCTTCATTTATGATACTTACATGATATTTTCATGCACCAGAATAGTATAAAGGAATGAATTATATCAACAAAAAGAGTTGAAATTCAGAAACTAAGATGTACATAAAAGAAAATTCCAATAAACAAACAAGCAGAACTAATCCATATTGCCACCATTCTGGATAACAATTAATTTGGGGAAAGGATCAGTTGTTAAAAGACCCCATGAGAAAGGTGCATTGCGGGACAGTTGTGACTTTGCATATCATAATCTAATTAGCAGGTATATCAGTCTCATGTCACTATAAATTTTAAGCTTATAGTGAATTTTTTACCTTTGTATCAGATATGTCAAATTTTTTATGTATTTCATATTAAATAATGTTTATTTTATACATTATTTAATTGTAGTATTTTTTAAAGCGTGCTATAGGGCATGTGTGCTAACCAAAGAGAGGAAAAGTGAGAAAGGAAGACACCAGGTCCGGGACTCAAACTGCTGTCAACCATGTAGGAGTGTACTGTCCTAGCAACCATCACACCTGCTGCCACCATAAATTAAGGTTTTATTATAGAAATGCAATGCATTAATATTCTAGAAATCAAGTAGAAAAATAAATAGAAAGAAATAGAAGAAATATCTAAGGAGGCTATAGTTAGGTAGCCAGAAAAAAACCTGTCTGGTATATTTAAGCCAAGCCCTCAGATATGAAATAGAATCAAGCCTTGGAGTGTTGTATGGAAGAATGTACCAGAAAAGGGAAGGAGGAACAGAAAAGATAAGAGTGCCAAGGTGAGGATACCTTTGGTGGTCCCACAGAACTGTAGATAACCAAGGAGTCATGGCAGAATAGGCGGGGCCAAGTGTTAGAAGAGGTTGCCAGTGTCTAACCACATCAGGCTTTATAGTCCAAACAGCTTTGAGTTTAATTCTAAATGTGATGAGAAGACAGGGACATTTTGGTTTGCATAATCTGTAGTGTGTTTTCCAAAGTGTCATTCTCACTATTGAGTGGAAAGAAGACAGTAGAGGACAGTAGAAAAGAATGAAAGTAGAGTAACTTCATGCACCACATCACAGTTCCTCTTTGAAAGCTTCAAGATGATCACCCTCAAATTGCATTTCCACTAATTCATTTAAAATTCTTGGAGTGTTTACCACTTCCTCTGCTTCAGATATTCAATGATCGCTCCTAACCTTCCATTTTTACTGTTGGAAACATTTGTCATTCAGGAAATTCCCACCTAAAAACTTAACATTCTATGATGACACAAGCAAAATTAAAAATAGACCTATACTTTGGAAGTTTAAAGTCTTTATACTGAATCATTCATATGACTCTTTCAAAAGCTGTTCATAGACGTCATATTCTTAGACAAAGTAATTTGCTTCAGAAGGGTATCATTTGTTTCTGCTTCAGATACAAAGAGAATGCAATGAAGCTGTCAAGAATTCAACATGACCAGCCAGTAAAGCCCCTGGATCGGGCAGTCTTCTGGATCGAGTTTGTCATGCGCCACAAAGGGGCCAAGCACCTGCGGCCGGCTGCCCACGACCTCACCTGGTTCCAGTACCACTCTCTGGATGTGATCGGGTTCCTGCTGGCCTGTGTGGCATCTGTGATAGTCATCATCTCCAAACTGTTTCTGTTTTGTTGGCAGAAATTTGCTAAAACACCCAACAAGAAGAAAAAGGAATAGTATAGATAAGAAATAATGCTACTGTGCCTGAAAGATGGAACTCAACCAACTTAATCCTGCACTGTTTACTTTGTAAACCGAAACTGTTTTCAAAAGATTCACTTAGAAATATGAATATTTCATGCCAAGAGAAGGAAACAGATGGACAACAATAAAATAAATTTATGTGAGTGTATATTGAAATTTATTACAATCCATGGGTTACATACTTAAATTTTTAACTAATCTTCATTAAGATCAAAATTTGTAAACAGACCCAGAAATATTAAGAGTTTTACACATACTATTAATACGGTTTGCAAATACTACTTTAACATCCTTTTGCTGCAAACTCTTCCAGTTTTAACATTTTCTGTAGAAACAATCCAACAATGACAAGTTTTACAACTCATTCCTCTGTTTTGGGATACTGGTAGTACTACTTGGTCATTACTGTACATCCAGTTTCAACATTGTTTTTTATAAACAACAATGTATTTAGTTTCTTCATGCTCAGTTATTTTTCAGTGGAACATATGTGCAATTACTAATGTAATGACTTCTCAATGTTTCATAATATAAATGTAAACTATACAGGGAAAACTTTGCGTTTATGGATTTTTTTCTTTTTTTCTCGTAGTCATTAAAAAAATTTAACTGGTTACTCTCACTCATTAATCTTTGATGAAAATCTACAGGCTTTTTTTCAGATTGCAATAATGTAGACTGTATTCTTTTATTTAAGAAATATTTTTTCCTAACTTTACTTTTTTTATTTATTTATAAATTGACCAGTGAGGGACAGAGCAAGAGAGCAAGTGTGTGTGTTAGGGTAAGGGGGATGCATTTTGGGAAAGCAAGCTGCCAAGTCTGGGACCCGAACCATGGTCAACCATCTGGGCGTCCAGTGCCCTTAACAACTATGCCATTTGCTGGCCCCAATAGAGAACTGTATTCTAAAGAAATGCATCAAATAGTCATCCTTTCTCCATGTACATGTATGTACCTACATCCACTGCTTCCAAGGATGACACAGTATCACAGCTATCTTACAGACATGTTGTGAAATTTAATGAGTTAGTGGAAGACAGTTTGCCATCATGATTATTATTCTTTATAATTCTATAGTAAGAGCATGCTTCATTTTTCTCCCATTCCTCAGAAGCTTATTGATTTTGCCATCATGATTATTATTCTTTATAATTCTATAGTAAGAGCATGCTTCATTTTTCTCCCATTCCTCAGAAGCTTATTGATCTCTCTCTTCCATCACACTAATACAGAAACATTAAATCCTGTTCATGAGTGAAAATAATGTATTCATCATTTTCTTTGAAACAAGCATATTAAGACCTTTTATAATCAGTAGCAATGCAAATAATACAGATATTACCAAAATTTTATAGGAAAGATGTAAATCAAACAACATGGCTTCCAAGGGCCATTTCTAAGCTACACATCAGGGAGGCTCTTCATGGGCAAAGTAATTCAACTTGAGAAAAACTGTTGTAAAGAGACCCTCATCCAAGTCTCACAACATTCTCAAACCTAGGACACTAATTTATCATAAAATGAAGTAAAATTTTGATAATAGAGGAATTCTAGAAAGAGTTCACAAAAGAATTTTCAATAAAGTTCATCATATAATTTTTAAAAAATAGAGCAACTGTACTTTTTAGAAAATTATATTGTGAAACTATGCACTTGAGCCTAAATTACTTTTCCTAAAGTATATTCTCAATTAACATTTATAAATCAAACTGTGGGACAAACGCAATATTAGTCTCCATCATATTAAAAAGCACCTATAAATAACCAACTTAAACAAATTGTAAATACTATCTACTATGTAAATCAATTAAAATAAGACATAAGACTTGGCAATTCACACAGGTAAAAATGGACTATAACATAAAATATGACAACAATCACTGATAATTAAGTAAATAAAAATTAAGCCAATTAGTTTTCTCATAGATTTGTACCTTATATAATCTGACGAATCAGCACCGCCTCAGTGATGTACCTAGTAGTGCACCACTGTACAATGCTGAAGCCACACAGAAGGCCTGGGTTCAGTTCCAGGGTCACCCTAAACAGTCTGGTGTATTGGCAAACACTGGTGGTCAAAGCTGACTGAAGTCTGGTACAAGAGGATCACAACATGGAGACGGTTTCAGGCACCTTTATTCATTGTCTGTCAAGTCTACCTTTGAAATCTTTCTTAAAAAAGCCAACACCTACTTAAGTCTTGATCATCCTTACAATTTCCACTTCCCTTTTATGAGGTTTAAAAACATCCTGCAGGGACCAGTGGGTGGCGTGGTGGTTAAGGCGCTGGACACTCCCCCATGGCTGACCACGAAAGCTGACTGAAAGTCTGGTATAAGAGGATCACAACATGGAGACGGTTTCAGGCACCTTTATTCATTGCTGGTCGAATTTACCTTTGAAATCTTTCTTAAGGAAGCCAACTCCTACCTAAGTATTGATCATCCTTACAACGATTTCCATTTACCTCTTATGAAGTTTGACAACAACCTGCAAATGGTATTAGCTGGTCTGGTCAGAGTCCATGCGCATGAGACATTCAGGGGCATGATCACTTGCCCCATCAAAGGCATTTCTGCATCTGGAGAATAATAGCAATGAATTCATTTCACTACAGAAAAATTTAACTCATTGCATTCCCCATATAAGTTATAAATAGGACACTCCTTTGTCTCATTGGAGAACACGTGGGAAGAGGACAGTCTGGCACCACAGAGGCTAAACACGGTACAAATGGACCTAGATCCCACAGGGCTGACTGCAGCTCAGTTCCCAGCCCAGCATTTTCTAAAACACACCAGATACTCGTGCATGGTTACCCCAAATCTTGATTACATGTAGAAGAGGAGTAAAAGGGAGTGTTGAGTGACTATGCCCCATTGAGTATTTCTCTCCTCTCTGTCTCTCTCTCTTTCTGAAGAATGCATGGTCTGAAATAATTGTAAAAGTTATAGTATGAAGAACCCTTTAAATATTCATAGAAAATGCATATTATCAAAAAACTAGGAATGAGATGCAAAAAGTTATCCACCAAAATAAATTTATATTTTAATATTGTATTTTGATAAATTGTTTGAAGTTCCCTCTTACAGAAAATACATAAACTGGTGCTGGTGTTAAGGTCATTTATTATCATTATCAAGCATTATGTACTATGCATAATTAGATGTGCTATACTTTCATATGACTGGTATCACAGCAAGTTTCTTTACATGAGCTTCATCATACTCCAGATGTATCTTTTTTAAGAGGTTTTTTTGTTTTTCTGTAGAGCACATGTACTTACCAGAGAGACAAAGTGAGAAATTACTCCCCAGGGGGATGGCCACACAGCAATCACTTCTCCTCTATCTCCTTCCAGCATAGTAGGCATCCACGCACATGCACCTGGCTTGAGTTTCTATCCACCAGGTCCAGGATTAAAACCACTGTCGACCATGTGGGAGTGAGTCCAGCACCTTACCCTCCATGCCTCCTGCTGGCTCCACTACAGATATTTCTTAAACTTCACTACATAAACTATATCTTTAAAGTATTTTGTCATAAGAAAAGATACTATTAAACCTCAAAAAAAAAAAGTCTCTAAAATGATCCCAATAGCATATACAAAAAACATTGATTATGGAAAATCTATTACTTTATTAAAAACAGTGAAAGCCTATTGCATGTCAGCACTGCTTTCTATGTCCACTTCTGACTTGGTGTGACAGAAATTCCACCACAGGTAGACACAAGAAAAATAAAAAATAAGTAATTTTGAAATCGATTCAAAAAGAAGTAAAAAATCTAAGTAGGCCTGTAATGAAAAGACATGAATTAGTATTCAAAATAAAAAGAAAAGCACAGGTTTCTACACTATAAAAGGTGAAAATTGGAAAGTTTATAATGTCCCCAAAACCACCCAAGCAAAGCAAACATTTTTGGCCAGAAAAGAGAGGAAAGAAAAAGGACCCATATTTAAGTGACTGAAATCATTCCTAAGTGATTCTTGGCAACAGCAGCAGGACATGGTGTGTCAGAGCTACCTGAAGGGAATGAAACCTATGACTTGGAAGTGCCAGATAAACATTTCCTGGCCTTCGTGGTTGGTTTAATGTCATTTGTTTAGAAGACCTCATTCATGAAATTGCCTTCCAGGGGAAGTATTTCCAAGAGATCTCTTACTTCTGGTGCCTTTTCACCCTCGGTGGTCCATACCACCACCAAGGAGACAGCCTTCCTCAAGGAGACAGGCACTTTTGGCTACTGGGATGAATGCAGCCATCAATTCATCCACCAGCTGATCTAGACCCCTAATCTTTGAAAGCACTGAGCAGTATAAACATGTTTTGTTTTGTTTTTTTAATTGTTATCAAGTATCTAATTACAAGAGCCTAGAAATAAATCCTGTCTGGTTTAGTAAAGACAAGGTTAGTATATACTAAAGTGAAATACCTATGCTATCTCTGGGGTAGTCTACAGCTAAGAGGGTGAGTCTACATAGGAAAGGAAGGTGGTCTTGTGAGTAGCTAAATGACTGACCTAAAAGTTACTGTGTACTTGGGACCCTTTACATACTGTTCTATACAATGACTGTGGCTTGGGGAATGGCAATCTTCCCTTGTCCTGAGAGTAAGGGTGGCTTATGGTCTTTGGGGTAAGGGCACCTCATGGATGAGTCCCTGAGCCCCTCCCGGCTACTGAGATTGTTTCGCCAATTAGTAGCTTTAACCTAAACCTTTCTAATGCTTATCTATGTAATCCCCAGTAGGAGAAGTGAATGTAGCATTCTTTATTGACATTTTCCAGGAGGGTGGGGTGAGTCTAATGGGAGTAACTCCTGTTCTTAGCCACCGCCCTACGCAGCTGCCACCTTAGTGGATCTGCATTCTTTCAGGATTATTGTAAAAGTTATAGTAAGGCTGGGGGTGCCTTTATGGGATACCGGGATACGGCAATAAGGCCCATGGCAGAGAAATTGAGTGCAGGCCAGTACAGTAACACAATGGAGGTGAGGTCCAGAATTTGTAAAACGGTTGGCCTTGCAAACAGTTCTCCTCAGCCGAGTCCTTGCTCTAGGCATGAGGGGCAGTTCTTTCATACTCAGCTTGTGTTAACTGCATGGTCCCAGCAGTTTATCATGTCCCCAAAGCCACCCAAGCAAAGCAAACATTTTTGGCCAGAAAAGAGAGGAAAGAAAAAGGACCCATATTTAAGTGACTGAAATCATTCCTAAATGATTCTTGGCAACAGCAGCAGGACATGGTACGTCAGAGCTACCTGAAGGGAATGAAACCTATGACTTGGAAGTGCCAGATAAACATTTCCTGGCCTTCGTGGTTGGTTTAATGTCATTTGTTTAGAAGACCTCATTCATGAAATTGCCTTCCAGGGGAAGTATTTCCAAGAGATCTCTTACTTTTGGTGCCTTTTCACCCTCGGTGGTCCATACCACCACCAAGGAGACAGCCTTCCTCAAGG